TGATATACTAATAAGAAAAATAAATAAATAATATAATTAATATACTTTAATCTATAACACATATTAAAAAAATTCATAAAATATTAACTTTCGTATTAAACCTAATAAAGAATAAAGAATTTTTTTATTTGATGCCCTTAATGCACATGTTAATAATATATTAATTACATTTTTTTCATTACATATTATAGAAAACATAAAATTTAAATTTAATTATGTCAATCACTTAATTAAAATTTTACATGTATTATTAATGTTAAAAATAAAATTATTTTTTGTATTTTTGTATACAAATTATACAAAAAGTGTGATTCATCCCTAGAAAGGTTGTTTAGATAAGCCCAAGAATAAATTTGTAAGTTTTAGTTTCTTACTTTATATTATGACAATTTGAATCCCTAACATTTACGAATTAAAGAAAATAACTCTTATTTAATATCAGCTTATAACGTTTATTAACTGACTGTTAACATTCTATTAGCTCGATTTTTGTCATCGTTAACTATCCATCAATAAATTGTTAACAAAATGTTAACAGTCAACTAACACACATTATAACCTCACATCAAATAAGGGTTATTTTTTTCAATTTGTATAAGTGATGGATTAAAAGTGTCATCATTTAAGTTGAGGGGCTAAAATCTATAAATTTATTAAGATAAAGGGCTAAAAGTAGGTTGTGCATATGCTGGTGGGGGAAAATGGGGTTTTGGTGGCGAAGAAGGTATTGAGGGAAGATGAAAGAGGGAGAAAAAGGAGAAGGAGATGAAACCAAATTGATGTAATCAATAGGTTTTGTAAAGGAATTGTTGTAATTTTGTGAGAGAGGTTGGGATGTTGAAGATGAATTTGAGGATATTCTTGTAATTAATTATGTTACAATTGTTTTTTTTTTTTTCCTTTTCCATTTAAGCACTACTTTTGTTATTAAATAAGTCCCTCACTTTTCATATTATTATTATTATTTTTATCCAAATCAACCTTAAAGTTTTTGTTTCTTTTCCATGTCGACATATTAATTTAAATTTGAAGCTAACTCAAGGGAGAAACAATGCCGCACTTGGCCTGTGTGGCCCAGTGGCTAGAGCCACTGAAAAGTGCACATCTCCCTCCCCTGGGCAGGTTTCGAACCCGCCCCATGACAAAGCTGTTCAAAAAAAAAAAAAAAAAAAAAAAAGGGATAAACAATGCCACGTCAACATTCGATTAATGGAGGGACGAAAAAAGGTTGGAAAAATAAATTTTAGAAACTAAAAATTAGCTTTTAAAAGTTGAGAGATCAAAAAAGGGGAGTTTGTTGAAAGTTTAGGGACATGGGGTTTCAACCTTTATACTCTCATCTCAAAATAAGTCAATTCTTGGATATTTTTAAGTGTTTTTGCCGACTACTATTGTAACTCAATGGTCACAACTCTTTTGAGAAACGTTATAGTATTTAAAAATCTAGGATTTAAGCGTTGGTAATTCCATTCCTTTTCCTCCAATTGTGCTAGTTCAAAAAAAGAGTGTTTTTTTTCAATAAATTAAAAATTCAGAGATAATTTATGTATTTTTACTATATTTACCTAAAGAAATAGATAAAGATGTCATGTAAAAAAAAA